CAAACATGCGCGATAGAGAGTACAGGAAGGATGTGGTAGAATAGGAGATATTGAAGATTGAGTCTAGCAGCATGGAAGATAATAAAGAATACAAGATTATCATGGATGGCACCAAACTTCTTAAGTGTATTTTGAGCTACATCCATCCATTCCTGATAATGATGAACTTTGGTAAAGAGACTTTGAGAGGGCAGAATTTGAGCCACTTATCACAGACTGTAATTCCCTTGTAACTGCAGCATTGATTATGTCTGGCCCACTCAGCTTTTGCTCAATCAGGATGTTGACTGACAAATTCAGTAGTAGCAGTGCTGTTGAAGTTTGTAAAGGTAGTTAGACCTTTTCTTATGGGTGATATGCAGATACATATGTCGCTTGATCTAATACACTTCTTCTTGGCCCGAGTTCCGCCTTTGGCTAACATGAATTGTTAGAAAAGCAATGAACGCAGAATGAACAGTGAGACAAACTATAATCATCTTACACACAGACAATTTTGTGACCCAGATAAATGTCAGTATTCTCAGGGTCATTGGGGCTTATATAATGGTAGAAGGATGAGAATACGGTTGTTTGTGTTTCAGTCAGAATGCTGTGTGCATCTGCATTGTTCTATTTTTATTTTTGGAGCAAATATTTCACTTAACGATCCCCAAACACTATGTTGCTGACTAAGATATTTTTGTGTAGATAGTTTGGCACTAAATAAAGGAAAGATGGGAACGAAGTAGATGCTGTAAAGTAGATTTCTGAAGAAGGGTTCTGACCCAAAATGTCAACTTTTTTGCTCCTCTGATGCTGCCTGGCTTGCTGTGTTCCTCCAGCTCCACGCTGTGTTGTCTAGATGCTGTACATAGTTTTGACCTGTCCAGTATACAACAGAAGCATAAAGGCTGAGATCTTGCAGTGGTCCTCACAGTGCAAAATTATGCCTGAGCAATTCATAAGATAGGAAAAATATATATACAAAGGAAATAAGGGAAGGTGAAGGAAAAGAAAGTCAGTTAAAAAGATTAGGTTTTGGAAGATTTTTTCAAACAGCAGTGGTACTCCAGTGGGAGGGGAGTCCAAGAGGAAAAAGTAGAGGATTTGTGGGGAAGGTAGTGGCTACGTTACTGAGATAGTAATAAAAATCAATCAGTTCAAATTCCACCATTAATCTGTATCTGACTCCTGCAGTTCCACACAAATAAGTTCAGTTTTTAATAAAAACTGAAAGAACTGCGGATGCTGTAAATCAGAAACAAAAACAGAAATTGCTGGAAAAGTTCAGCAGGTCTGGAAGCACCTGTAGAAAGAAATCAGAGTTATTGTTTTGGGTCGAGTGACCCTTCCTCAGAACTCAGAACAGTTCTAAGGCAGGGTTGCTCAACTTGAAATATTAACTGATTTCTCTCCACAGATGCTGTCAGAGTCAGAGTTAACATTTCAAGTTGAGCGACCCTGCCTCAGAACTGTTCTGAGTTCTGAGGAAGGGCCACTCGACCCAAAACAATAACTCTGATTTCTCTCCACAGGTGCTGCCAGACCTGCTGAGCTTTTCCAGCAATTTCTGTTTTTGAAGCTCATTTTTAATTTCTCTTTGTACTGGCCTATTAGGGCACTGAGTCAGATCTACCTGGGATTTCCAACACGGGTAATATCCTGAGGTTGATGTTTTTAAACTGGGTTTAAGGAGTGGAGAGTGACTGTAGGATCCTGCATTGAAGCAGGTTTAGATATAGCCAGGATGAAAGACAGGAGGAAAATGATGTCACTGGCAGGTGAGATGTTTTAGTCCCTAGTAATTTTTCAAAGTGTGATTTGAGATAATTTTGTGCAAAAGCATTTAATTCAACTTCTTTTTTAAACAGAAGATGCTCACATTGTTGTACTCTTGCAAATTCAGTCTACTGAGACACAAAATGTAAATATCTTTGAGGTTAGTCAGGTTTTACTTTGTTTAGACTTCACTGTTTTTGATTGTTTTTCTCATTTTTTGTTTGGAACTGTGAGCTAGAATTGAGAATCGAACTTTACCAACAGCTTGTTTTAAAAATAGGGAAAGAAGAAACAAAATGATGTTTGCATGTGCAAACTGGTCTGGAAGATAATTGCTGGCAAGTTACTGTTCTAAGAACAGTGCAGATGTCTCCGCCTCAGGCTGTGTAAAGCTCAAGGACTGGCAGCTGGTTGGATATTGCGTTGGTGAATCAAGTAGTTGCTGGTGTTTGCCAGCCACCCACAGAGACCGTTGGAAAAAGAAAGATAAAATATAGATTGAACTGGTTTTTCCTGGATTTTTGGTGGCTATGTCCTTGGAAGCTGTGTTTGAGTCGTACTTTCTGATTTTACATTCTTTAAAGCATTGTTGACTATTCCTAGAAAATAATTCCAGTTCAGAAGTAAGTAAGTAAATATCTAATGGTGTCTGTTGAAAGCTGTTTGCATTGACAGGAATTGAAGCACGATACAAGGACCTAGACTGTAATATAATGGATCTTTCAAGGATTCCATAAACACCTGGCATTCGTCGTTGAAATGGTTATCAAAATGGCAAATTGCAATTCTTTTATTTTCTTTACTTTATCCCTTAACTGTCTATCTAAATGTGGGGATTACGATAAAGAAGATTGGATTTAAATTGTAGGCGTTAATTAGATTACCTTGAGCTGTAGCTTTGCTCCACTACAGTTACAATATTAATAATAAAATGTTAGTTTTCATTTAAGCTATAAAATTGGTGTCCAAGATTTGTTATGTGTAGAGTCTGGTTAGGAACAGTTGGTCAATTTAGAGGATCATTCAATAATTGAGTTACGAATCCAGTGATAGTAAGGCTGATTTAATTTGGTTTTACTGTCCCTGTGCCATAACAATTTGAGTTTCCAAAATAGATCTATTTGTAATTTTATTTGAATATTTATTTCCCCAATAGTCAAATTTAGATTTTGTTTTGCAAAATTTTATTGCCTTTACAGGAATGAAGTGATTGTTATGAACAATTAATCTGGAAAACATGAGTCCAAATCCTGACATGGCAGGGTGAGAAATTGAAAACTGTTGAGCAGGATTGAGATAAATAGGTGTCTATTTGAACCACATTATTGCAGCTTTATAAGACTTTGTTTAGGCTACACTTAGAGTAATGCATTCATTCCGGTCACCACATTACAGGAAGGATGTAGAGGCTTTGGAGAGAGTGCAGTAGAGGTTTACCAGAATGGACCGCCTTGCAGAACACCTACGCTCGGTTCGCAATAAACAACTGCACCTCCCAGTCGCGAACCATTTCAACTCCCCCTCCCATTCCTCAGACGACATGTCCATCCTGGGCCTCCTGCAGTGCCACAACGGTGCCACCCGAAGGTTGCAGGAACAGCAACTCATATTCCGCTTGGGAACCCTGCAGCCCAATGGTATCAATGTGGATTTCACAAGCTTCAAAATCTCCCCTCCCCTACCGCATACCAAAACCAGTCCAGCTCCTGCCTCCCTAACCTGTTCTTCCTCCCACCTACCCCTCCTCCCACCTCAAGCCGCACCTCCATCTCCTACCGACTAACCTCATCCCGCCCCCTTGACCTGTCCGTCCTCCCTGGACTGACCTATCCCCTCCCTAACTCCCCCCCTACACGCACCTTTACTGGCCCCATCCCCGCCTCTTCGACCTGTTTGTTTCCTCTCCACCTATCCTCTCCTCTATCCATCTTCTATCCGCCTCCCACTCTCTCCCTATTTATTTCAAAACCCCCTTCCCCTCCCCCTTTTCTGATGAAGGGTCTAGGCCCGAAACGTCAGCCTTTCTGCTCCTATGATGCTGCTTGGCCTGCTGTGTTCATCCAGCCCTGCACCTTGTTGTCTCGGATTCTCCAGCATCTGCAGTTCCTACTATCTCTGATTCAATTTACCAGAATGCTGCCTGGATTAGAGAGCTTGAGCTATAAGGAGAGGCTAGGAAAACTTGGGTTGTTTTCTCTTGAGCGGCAGAGGCTGTGGGCAGACTTGATTAAAGTCTACAAAATTATGCGATACATAGATAGGATTGATGGTCAGAATCTTTTCTTGAGAGTTGAAATGTCTATTACTAGGGGGCATGCACTTAAGATGGGGAGGGGGAATGTTCAAAAGAGATATGAGGGGCTGATTTTTTTACACAGACAGTGGTTGGAGTCTGGAATTCGCTGCCAGGGGTGGTGGTGGAGGCAGGTAGAATAGGGGTATTTCAGGGACTTTTAGATAAGCACATGCATATGCGATGTATGGAGGGATATGGACTAAGGGCAGGCAAAAGGGATTGGTTTAATTTGGCATAATGTTCGGCCCAACATCGTAGGCTGAAGGGCCCATTCCTGTGCTGTACTGTTCTATGTTCTGTTGTGTTTGGTTCTCAACTTCCCCTTGAAGTAGCCTATCAAACAATTCAATTGTATCAAACGGCTGCAAAAAGCAACAGCATTGTGAGGACTCCTTCACCACTGCATCAGTTCCGAAAGAATATTCACTGTCTATTCAGCACAAAGAATTAAGGGAGTTTAACTATGTAAGGTAGGTATGGAGCCACATTTAGTCTCAGACCAGGCAGGCATTACAGTTTTCCTTATGTTAGGATGTTAGTAATCCAGTTGAGTTTTAAAACATACCGGCAGCTTCTAGTTTCATTTTGTGCAAGCAGATATTTACTGAATTCATTTTTCTAACTTTGCGTTATGAGCTCTTGTGGCTAGACCAGTGTCATATTATTTGTTAGAAAAGAACTAATTGATTAGAAGATGTCCAAAGATGTTGCTGTCAAGACTTTGTTCTGAGGATGGAGGAACTCAAGACTTAACTTCCCAGTTTTATTTTATTTGGTTTAAGTCAAATTAACAAACACAACTTCAGACTTCTGAGGAGATTGGCTTGCTTAAAACATGACACTTATACCAGCTCTTTGCCCCTCCATGCTCTGTAACAGCTCTATAGATTAAAGCTTCTGTCAAATGATAACCAGTGCAATAACTTTAATCTCCTTGTGACAGACTGTTAACTGAACTGGAGTCTCCACCGTGGTGGCCGTTCAGCAGTCGCCACCGAAAGGCTCAACAGGAAGCAAAGAGTCGGCAAGAACTCCCACGCTCTGCCTCAAAGGCCTTCGGGAAGGAAGGCTTGATATTAAAAGTCCCTGTCCTTTACTCCCAAGGTCAAGATCCCAACCTGAAACAGGGTACACTTGCAGTTCTTTGCTCAGGTCTGGAAATCTGTGATTCAAATGACGAGCTTGTGCATAAGTTCCGAAGGGAGGAGGTCGATGATGTTAAAGTGCAAAGCCCTTATGAAATGGTTGTCCGTCAGAGGTTCATAGGGAAGCCCGATATCTCCTTTACCCTACAGTCTGCGAAGATGACTGATGTTGTTTCCATTGTGGAGATACAGTACTCCAAAAAAGTGCAATTCAGAGATGATTTGTTGGGGCTCTTCAGACCAGAGGACTCTCCTGTTTCAGAGAACCTCAGCATGGGCGGCTCCATATGGAATGCAGGTATGTCATTTTTCAGTTGGTCACTGTGCTTGAAAGTAAAAGAGGTGCAATAACACATCTCTGTAAAAGATAATTACCAAACTAGGAACGTGTGCGCATTTTTAGATAAAGGAAAGGATATTGGACTTGAGCATGCTCTCTCATTTTCTTTAGGAAAAACCCAACCTGCTGATTTATTGTGTTCTTTGATTCTTCTAGATAAAAGTAACCTGTTGAACTTGAGGATATTTTCTAAGCAGCCTATACAAATATGCTATCACAGGCCCATAAATCACTTGAAAGAACTTGAATCTGATTCTCTTAGTTCAGTAGCACAGTTTTACCTTTAAAGCTAGATTAAGGACCTCAGTGATGTGAAGTGTGTGCCAAAAGAGACTTATATTTTTTAATTTCAATAACTTTCCCACAGTATCTAATTGCACATGCTGATTACACTATCCATGGAAAAAATGCTAGCTAACATCACCTCATACTGCTAACTTTTAAGTGTCGCCTGGTGTTTAAATGTATTGAATGATAAAATTATTTCACACAAAATGAAACTATTTCTCCCATCGTACCTGTCTCTGTCTCTCCCCTTCCGTTCCCCTTAGCCCTGCAATTTTTTGCCCTTTTTTGTCTCATTCTCCTTTGAAAATTATTTTTGAATCTGTGTCCACCACCCTTTGAGGCCGTGTATTTGAGATGATAACAACTTGTTGTGAAAATAAAAACCGTTTACTCATGAGAGCTTTGCTTTTTTTTTTGCTGATATCCTACAGTTATGTTCTATTTTTTTAATCGTCTTTTAATGACTTCTATAAAATCTCCTCGCTCAATCTTGTCTGTGTATGGAGAACAATCTCAAGCCTTCGTTTTCTCCAGTTTCTACACATCGTTGAAGTTCTTAATCTGGTTTTGTGGTAAATCTTCATACAGCAGAGATTAGGCAATTTGTTTTCTCCGAGGGGTGAGAGTTTTTGGATTTGGAGTTTTTGAATATTTTTAAGGCAGAGGTAGATAAACTTTCACCCCTTGCTTAATATGAATTTATCAGGATTAGGCAGGAATGTGGATTTGAAGTTGCAATCAGATCACCCATGATATTTTAAATGGTGGAGCAAGTTTGAGGGCCTGAATAGCCTACTCCACCTCTTGTTCTTATGTTCGTATCTCCTTCAGTCTCCCAACACCTTATTGTCATTTCTGAAGTGTGGTGCTAAGTTCGCCAATTGAGGCCTGTATAAAGCTAAGGATCCAACATTTTTTAAACTTCTGTACTTGATCTTTTAAAGATTTTTGTACGTACATCTCTAGGTTCCAAGATTTGGTTCATGGTACCTGTCCTTATTCTTCTGACCAAATAAAACATTACTTTTGATGTGTTTGCTTATTTCACCACTCTGTCTTTCCTCCTGAAGTAGGATGTTGTCCTTCTCGCTGATTACTGTAATTTTATTTTTTGTATTGACTGCAAACTTTGAATTGATGCCGTGCCAGTGCAGATCATTGATATAGATCAAAAAGAGTACCGGTCCTCATACTGGCCTTTAGAGAACAATGCAGTATACCTCTCTACTTAGTAGATCCATGGGATTTCAATGTTGTTAACAAATTTATTATGTGGTACTTTATCAAATGCCTTTTCAAATTCCATATACACAATGTTAATCTTTCTGTTGCTTCATCAAAAATTTGATCAAATTAATTGAACATTTGTTTTCACCACATCTGTCCTGATTTTGATTTATTAGCCTATTATTTTCTGAATGCCAATTCATTTTACCCTGAATTGTTGTTCCGAAAACTTCCCCAACACTGATGTTAGGCTGGCTATCCTAAGATTACGGGGTATAATCTTCTCCCTCTTTTTAAAGCAGGGGTACAACCTTTACAATCCCTAATTCCTCTAGCGCCACCAATTTCCAAGGAAAATTGGGGGATTGTGAACAAATGAACATATGAAACAGGAGCAGATGTAGACCAGTCATCCTCCTCACCATTCAATAAGATCGTGGCTGATCTTATTGTGTTTTGAATCAACATTCCCATCTATCCTCGATAACCCTTGATTCCCCTGCCTAACAAAATCCTCCACCTCTGCCTTAAAAAATATTCAATGACCCCATTTCCACTGCCTTCTGAGACACTGTATTCCAAAGTCTGAATTTTCAGAAAACAAAATGAATTTTTTGTCTCTGCCCCGAGAGGTCAAACTTTAATTTTAAAACAGTGCCCCCTAGTTCTGGTGTTCTACAACAAGACAAAACATCCTTTAAATGTCCGTTGTGTGAAGACCATGTTATATGCTTTAATCAAGTCACTCTTCTCAACAGCGGCAGAATCAAACCAAGTCTGTCCAATCTATCCTCCATAAGACAAACACTCATTCCAGGTATAACTTTGTGGCCATCTTCAATTCCCTTACTACCTAGGATGCACCTCATCAACAACATTTGACTTTTCTACTTACACAATCTAATATCACAACTTTCTCCACTGTCATTGATACATTAGTAGCATTGCCTGTGGTGAAAACAGATGTGAAAGCTCTGTTAAGTATGTCAGACATGCCTGTAGTCTGGGGGGAAAAAAAATTTCGAACCATAAATAGACCGTCTCCCACCCCCTTTCTTTTACATTCTATCGCTGTTTTATGTGATTATTAAAGGCTTTCAGTTCTGTTTATTGGTCACTAACTTAGTCTTGTACTCTATTCTTGCCCCTCTGTTGGGGAGAATGAGAAAAAGGCAAGGCTGTGTATTCATACAGTATCTTTCTGTATCTGAGTATGTTGCAAAGTGATTTTCAGCCAATTAAGTAATCTTGAAGTCAATGCCACAATATAAGATATGGGAAGACAATTTGTCTATAACAAGGTTCCACCAATAATGAGGTAATGGCTGGAAATGCCCTTTTAATGCTCGTGGTTGAAGGACATTATTACCTGTGATATAGCAGAGATCTTCCCTTTTTTCTGTACTACTGCCGTAGGAACCTATTGCATCCAACTGAGAAACAGATGGGGCATTGGTTTAATGGTTGATCAAAACCACTCACTATTTCACTGAAGCGGCATGTCTCTGGAGCAGGACTTGAATGCACAGCTTCCTGATTCAGAGGTGAGAGCGCTATGCACTGACCACAAGAAATATCTATTTCGATGGAGTGTTGATTATGTGACCATCATAACTACCAGCAGAAGCAGCCCCTCGAACTTGCTGCGCCATTAATATGGTTATGGCTGATCTCATCTTGGCCGCAATTCTAACTTCTTGCCTGCTCCCCATAGCCCTTCAACCCATTACTAATTAAAAATCTACTGCACTCTGGGGTAGTGAATTCCACAGATTCATGACCCTTTGGGAGAAGTATTTCCTCCTCACCTCTGTTTTATATCTGCCACTCCTTAACCTAAAACTATGACCTCTTGTTCACCATCCTGTCTTTGTCATAGAAATCAATTTCAGGCTAAATATGTATGGAAATTTCCATTAGGATAGCCTGATTTTTAGGATGGTTTTTAGGAAGTTGTTTAATGTGTTATCATCAATTTTATTTGGGGAAACAGTGGAGGATGGAATAGCAATGCTTAAATGCAAGTTTTTCTTAGCAAGGTTGTCTCTTCCTAACTAGATCTTTGCACTACAATGACTTTGAAATTTGTTTTCTACTGCTAGCCCCTCATTGCCTGTCCTCATGCCAGGCAACATACACCTATGGACGTGGAGAATGAGGTTGTAGGGACACTTATTAACACACTCTCCCTGCATGAAGAATGGGTGATTAGATGTACTCTTGGAGGATGCCTTGTGTTTGTAGATGTATATTTCAGTGAGTAGGAAAGGGGAGATGCCAAATTTTAGAGTCTGAATGTATGCAAACATATTTAAATTATAACCTGTCAACTAGGGAAAAACGATGAAGTAATGAACTTATTTATGAAGATTGGGTTTATCATACTCTCCTTCCCCTCATCCCATCAATTGTGGTCATTGTTTTCACCAAAAGAAATATGGCACCCACATCATTTCTTGTTTGGTGCTTTTAGATCATCATTTCCAATTGTGTTTATAGCGTTATTAAGCGGAGGTTGACCCCCCACTACCCAAAGAGGAGCACCTTACCTTATAATCTGTGAAAAGTGGTGTAATCTTTTTTCAGTAACTTCTAGTGGTTAAGTCAAATAAACCCCAGCGCTCACTTCACAATGAACAAGTAACAATTTATTCATCTAACTCTAACGGTGAACAAATTTAACTAAATTATTAACAAACCAAATAAACTCCTTTTAACTACTAACTATTCCCGAATAACAAGGTTCTAATGGTATGCTGTTCCAGTGAATACAGGTCTCACTTATTTATTTTATGTAAAAGACTTTAGTCTCTAAAAATTACAGCCAGGTTACGTCTTCCAGCATGTTCTGTGCCTTCTCTGTCGAATGTCCTGCCAGGAACGCCTTCTCCATTGAATTCTTCTGTCAGGGATATTAACTAGTGGTGCCGTAGGTACCTTTGATTTAGATGATGCTTTCTCTAAAACTTAGAGACTGAGAGTACTTTCAATTCTCTTGAGAGCTGAGAGCTATTAACTCTGGCAGATGGCAGTTAACTCTCCTAATTTTCCAGCTGCCCTCTCCTTTTATACCCTTGATGACATATCAATTTCTTGAAATAGGATTGGTCCTATGTTGTCAAAACCATTGGATTTAAATTTAATTGGTTTTTAGTCTCTTAAGTGCCTGATTCAAATGATTGGCTAAATTGAAAACTTGCTGTCTTCATAACAAAACAAAACTGCTGCTTGGCCTGCTAACTGTACGGTTTTTTGATACAAATGTTTCAATTCAAATGCTTTCTCTGCATCTGCAAACGCAGAAGCTACTGCCCACAGACATTTAGTTGAAATCTCTAAGCATGGAAAAAGCACATCATCTTTTAAAGGGACCACGCACTGCTTTACACAACCCCCCCCCCACCCCAACATTTTACAAACACCAAATTCTAACTTCTTGCCTT